ATGTTTGATGGTCTATATCTACTTTGATCTGAGTATAGTTATTAAGATAACAAATAAAGATATTTTGGAGAGATTCTTGAGTAATTCAGAACATTAGATATCATGTTTTGTGTACGAGTGAGCTCATTTTTGTATTACAATATGAAGTTCCTATTCAGAGTTTGAAATATGGGAAACTTTAGTACTTGAAGGTGTATCAACTTTATGAGTAGATGGTTTCGTGATTGCTCTTTCCTTATCGTTGCATCTACCATTTTGCAAATAGGTAGTTAATTACATCTTAGGATGAGTTTTCTACTCTTAGGAATATATGAAGATGAGTTTTCTTGTTCTCTTAAAACACACTAGCCCAAAATTTTGGTATATTTAAAAGTCTCCCTTTGAACCCATAGGCATGGAATAAACCCTATAAAATTTACCCCCTCTTCTGAGGTTTTTTTTCTTAGTTGCTTCACAACTCCATTAAATCACTATTCTTCATTTTCTGTTGCATCTTGGGGACAGCCCCCAAACATTAGAATATACAATTTCTAGTAGAGAGATGCTTTTAGCAGATGGAGAAAAATAAATACAATAATGTTTTACTAATTGACAAGTTTGACATGAAAGTGTTTCAATTTCTACTAACTTAAAAACGTAAGAGAACATAATCTTCAAGGACTTGAAGGAAATATGACCAAATCTAGATTGTCACAAGTAGAACGCATTGAGTTTTTATTGTAATTTTAGGGTGTACAAGATTGTAGTGTTATCTCTTTTTAAAACTCGAGAAGATACATAACTGCATCACAACCACTTCCAATTATTGATTCATCTCCAAATCCTGAAAAATACAAGGAACATAATATAAAGTCATAAAACTTTCTTTTATGCAAAACTTAGAAAAATTAAATTCATATAAATGGAGATAACATGAAGTACCATAGGTATAATTAAATGAATATTTAGTTTAGTGGAGGCATCATCTGTAGAAGTGGCTTGGCTACCATCTGCTATTGACATTTGAAAAATTGTATGAAGTGAAGTAAGTTAGAGTACTATTTACATGATCAAATGCCCCATAGTTGATGGTTTGTGAGTGATGTGACAAATGAGAGCTACACTTAAAATTTTACCTAACTAGTGTGGAGGATTTGTCAACAATTGGATATTCCTTTACATTTTTTGTAGAAGTTGAGAGAGTCTCATAGAGTTAAAAAAAGAAAACCCATGAATAGGGACACTAGAAAGATCTGAATTCAAAGAATTCACTTAATTCATGCTAATAGTTAATTTACTTCTATATATTATGTCCCTTCTCTTCATACTTGATATTAAAAGGATTATTTTCAGGCTTCTACAATGTGATTTGATGACGCACAATGAGTACAATTCCTTTCTATTTTTCTTTTAACTTTTCCTTGGCTTTTAACTACTCTATTTTTACTTCCATGGCTAGCAAAGGCTAGGTGTTCCCTCACATCATCTTGAATTTATTTGAGAATGTTATCCTTTACTAATCTTGTAGATGTCACATATGCTATTTTTGATCTTATACACAACAGTCTATCATATGAAAATTGTCTAACTCATCCCATAAACTTTGTAAATCTACTAAGTGATCTCTGACAAACATTGACTCCTACTTTTGTGGACATTGTTGATGAATTGATGACACCCAAAGTGTCTAACATTCTCTATAGGTCAATAGTTGTTTGTTTGTGTAAAAGATCATTTGTTGAATTTTGGGGCTGACATAATTCAAAAGTCATGACATGACTAAGAATTTTTTACAATATCAAACGTCATATTCTAGATATCTGATATTTAGTTATTTGGAAAGGCCAAGCATTTATTTAATTTTATCTTGGCCAGCTTGGCATGTCAAAGGTCCTCCTTTTAGCTTCCTCTAGAAAACCAAGCCCAAAATAATCACTATGCACAGGTAGCCACATTTGAAGGTATTTTAAGACACATGTACCTCATAAGGCTATCTAGAAGCCTTCTCCCCAATTGGAAAGGGCACTCTAAGAATAATTTTTTACCACACCCTTGTGTAACCCCTATTTCCTTTAATGCCCATCAATCATAACCACCTTGGTTGCACTCCAATACATGAGCATATCTCTGAAATTATATATTTTTAACTTCACAATATTATCCCCATGAGATGGTGGAGCTCTGCCCACATGAGATAGAGATCTTCATAGCAGGAGACTATAGACCTAAGGGGTCCAACTGGCCAAGCAAAACCTGCTCCACTCCAAGTACACTATAAGAGGTGCCATAAATAGCCCTAGATAAAGGAAAAGCTTGAGCATTTTGCTTTTGGGCCAAGATTTGTGCAATGGTTTAATAAGCAACCAGTTTTAACTTGAATAGGCTAATTCCGATTCTTAGTTTGATAAACCTGCATAGCTAAGTGAGTTACATGTGGCTCAATTATGAATAATGTTGTTTATTTTATTCAACTAAAAATGATGAATGGTGAGAACTTAGCCTATTAAGATTATCCTCTTGTTATCAAACTAAAATCTCATATAACTGAAATTTATCTATATGATAAAGACAGAGAGTTGTGGCTCTTGGCTTAGTGGCCATAAATGACTTAGCTATGCTATATGTGGACAGAGCTGGTGAAGCTGCTGTCGATGAAGTGTCGATGATTACAGATGAGCTTTTGTAAAAATGTTGCTCGCATGCTCTCTCTCTCTCTTTCTCTATTTGTATTTAAGAAGAAGAAAGATGGAAGGGATTTCAATCAAGCAAGCTACCTCTAGTTCATTCTCTATGTGCTTGTTCTTTTCTTTGGTGGGTGACCATGGTCTCAAAGCCATCACAGTAGGTGTCACAATACACTCACCCCTTAGGCAAGTGACGTGACTTAATCATTGTATAGTAAATCACGTAAATTTAAAATTTATAAAACTAAAAAATACTAATTTTTGAATATTTAGAAATATTTCTGAAAAAATATATCAATTATAATTTAATAAAAAATTAAAAAATAGTGATAATTTTCTAAATTAATCACATGAATATAATATAATATCGAGTGATTTGTTAAAAGTTTCTTTAAAAAATATATATTTTATATAAATTTTATACTAAGAAATAAAAAATAAAATATATTTAAAATTCACAAAAAAGAGAAATGAGAGTGCAGATGTCAAGATGACATCATCATTTGACGAATGTGAATCTGACAGAAATAGAGTTTTGCCTAGTGATTCCTACGTAAATAATTACAAATGATTTAATTGATCAAATTAAGATCTGTAAAAGATTGAAAAATCGTAATTGAATGAAATATAACTTGATAACTTTAAATCACATAAGTTATCACTAAATAAAACAAAAATTAAGTTAAAAGTAGGAAAACAAAGTTACAATATTGTGGTAGCGATATGTCAGCGATGCATCAAAATTTTGAGCATTCGAGAGAATCGTCATGTAGTATCCACAGCTTTGAAAGCACTTCTTAGACAACGACGGTGTAGACAATCTTTAGATCTTCTTGTAAAGTCTAGAGATCAATGAAATAGGTTGTCAAATCATCTCCAACAATTGTCATCTGGCAGAGCGAAAAAATGACGACTTTGCGGCTCTCTAACGATTGTCACCCAATGGAGAAGAGCTAGATGGAGGTGGGGTGCAGGTCAGGAAGCTTCATCCTCAGGTTTATATAGCAAGAGGAGGCTTTTCATCACATCTGATATGCTCTTAAGAGGTGACAACTCATCTTTTGATGGATCATCCTCTTTCCGACGATGGCTTGTTCGTCAATCAATTAGAGATGATTTACTCGATGAATTTGTAATCCTTTTATTGTGAATCATTCAACAATTTAAGTAACAATACTCTATGAATTGCGTTGATGAGATTTTCATTGATGATCTAATGATTTTGACGGCTTAATCTTTCACTAGTGATCTACAAGAAAGTTGTGATAATCAGATAAAAAGTAGGATTTTTGACTCTAGGAGGATTAGAACCCATGCTAATTGCTTGCTTATATGAGAAAGATTAAAATAAATACTCTAATACTCTTATTAAGTAACGTAAATATGATATATCTCTATTATAACTAAGGGGTAGTTTAGGTATTAAAATTTTAAAAGCCTTTTGAGAGAAGGTGTGATGTGAATTTAGTCCCACATCACTTGTGCACCAAAGTTTTAGATGAATATATAGTAATATCACATTTTTAAGTAATAAATTCTTTTTTCCCACGTATACAAGTACTCTTTGCCCCACAACCGACTGGCCACTAGTGACGTGAAAGGGGAGTGGCACACACATGTCCCCATTAGTCTTAGCCGCTTGAGCCCTTACTCGTGGTTCCCCCTAACTACACTTTTGACCCGCTTGCAAGCCCAGCTGGCTAGCAGATCCCCCCCTTCTGCTATATATATATATTTCCTTTATCTCAAAAATAAGACTATAAAATTATATAAATTAGTAGAAAATCACATAATTAGCTAAAAATTCACATTAATCAACTGAAAAGTACTTTTCACAATTTAACATAAATATAAGTCTATTTATCATGAGTTAAGACTAAAATTATATTATTTACTAATTATTAACTCATGAAAATGAAAACTTATCAACAAGGGCTGAAGGCATTAAGCCTAGTCAAAGAACATGTCCGTGAAGAGTGTCAAAGTTGGAGAAAATTTTGGTGGTTACTTTGGCGATGAATGTTTCCTTAGTTTAGTATTTTGTGCTGTCTTGCTTGTTTTAATCTTGACCATTCACCTTAGTTGAGTTATTATAGCTTGATTAGGAGTTAAATGGGAATGTGGTTTCCACAAATCATAACTATCTCTAGCAAACATTACTCCCTCTCTCTCTCTCCAATAAATGTACTTCTTGTGTACAACGAAATAGATAGAGAGGATTTATGTTGTGTTCTTGATATCTTAGTCTCAATTCTTCTTCTTCTTCTCTCACATGATCCTCGAGCAAGTTTTTGCTCCCAACATTGGATATCAAAGTGATTTTAGATAGAAGACATGATGTCGCATTGTGGAGATGCTACTAAAGGTGAGAGAGACCTCGCCACAAGTGGAGCTACAAAAGGACTTGGAGATGCTAGATACCCAAGTGCATTCTCAATGTTGTCCAAGGCCAACTATCCATTGTGGGCAATCCAGATGCAACTCCACTTGGAGGCTCATAGTCTACGGGAAGCTATTGAGTCAGAGATAATAACAAGAAAGAAGGATCAACAAGCCCTGTCCATGATGCTCAGAGTGGTGTTTGAAGACATCCAATCACATCTCGACATCACCAAAATGACAAAAAAAACGTGGGAACTCCTCAAGTCAACAAATGTGGCAGTTGCTTGCCTCACAAAATCAAGAATTCAAAGTTTCATACAAGATTTTGAGATGTTGCGAATGGGAGATGAAGAGACTGTATTTGATTTCTCTAGAAAATTATCTCGAGTAGTTACTCAAATTAGAAATTTGGGATAAAAGATGGAAGAAAGCACTATTGTTGTGAAACTTCTTTAGGCAACTCCTGCAAGGTTTAACCCCATCATTATCTCTCTTCAGCAATTTGGTGATATAGATTCAATGCCCTTTGAAGAAGTAGTGGGATCACTAAAAATCTATGAAGAGAAGCTCAAGACTCATTAGTAGAGAAAAGAAGAACAAGTCCTATTTTCACATGGTACTGAGAAAACAAGAGGAGAAGGCTCTTGAGGTAGAGGACGTGGTTGAGGTAGAAGATGCAGCTAAGGTAGAGGAAGATGCAATAATAAAAGTGCTGATGAGAATTGAAAACCTTGAGACAAATCCAAGGTAAAATATTACAATTGTGACAAAATGGGACATTATGCTTGAATGTTACATAGAGAAAAAGGAGGAGAAAGCTCATCTTACTAATATTGAAGAAAGGTTGAATCCACACTTTTTATGGCAAAAATTAATGATTTTTTACTACAAGGAATACAAGAAACTCAGGTTGAAGATGAAATGTGGTACTTGGACACTAGTGTCACAAACCACATGACAGACAAAAAGAGATTGCTTTGTGATTTTGATGATTCACTAGGTAGTGTAGTAAAGTTTGGCGATGGATCCAATATTGACATCTCTGGTAAAGTATTCTTGTAAATTGCCAGGATGGAAGTAAATTGAAACTCAATAATGTTCTATATTTTCTTAGACTCAAGATCAATATTCTTAGTCTCAGTGGTTAAATGATTAAGGATTCAATATGGTGATGGCATCTAATTTCCTTACTATCTATGATCAACACAAAAGACTTCTAGCAAAGGTGAGAAGACACAAGGAAGACTGTATTTACTACAGTTACAAATTGAAGAACATTGTCTTGTTTCAAAAGGGTGTCATGAAGTAGATTAGAAATGTCATAGAAGGCATGGACACTTAAATTTTCATTCTTTGAAAGATCTCTTCTTTCGGGACATGGTGAAGGGATTACTATAATTAAAATCTCAGATAATCTCTGTTGATCTTGTGTTGTTAGTAAACAACACAGAAGCCCATTCCCATCCTCTTTTGAATTCAAAGCTAGTAGATAATTGGAGCTTGTTCATGGAGACATGTAGGCCCATCTCTTCTACTACTTATAAAGGAAATAGGTACTTCCTTCTTCTTGTGAATGACTACTCAAGATTGATGTGGGTTGTAATGTTGAGGCAAAAAAATGAAGCTTTCCAAGCATTTTTGAAGTTCAAGAAAATGACTAAGCTAGAGAAAGGAGAAAAGGTGCGAACTCTTAGAACTAATCAGGGGGGAGAATTCACTTATGTTGAGTTTTCTTTCTTCTACATTCAACATGGAAATGGTGTTGTAAAAAGGAGGAACATAACACTCATGAAAATGGTCCAAAGCATGCTGAAAGAAAAAAACTTACCTCCTAAACTCTAGGGTGAAGCTGTGAACATGTGTTTACATCTTGAATTGGTCTCCAAATAAGAGCCTAGATAAAGCTACGCTGCATAAAGTTTAGACTAGTTCAAAGCAAAATGTAGCTCATCTTAGAGTGTTTGGCTCATTGGCCCATGTGAAGACACTTAGACAACGACTCACAAAACTACAAGATAGAGGTAAACCTATGATCTTCATAGGCTATGAAGCTGGCACAAAAAGATTATAAGTGCTATAATCCACAAGATGACAGAGTTCACATTAGTAGAGATATAATTTTCAAAGAAAGTAGCTAGTGGGATTAGAATCACATTGATCAAACAAGTAGATGTACACTCTACTTTCCATCCTTTATTGATTCAATTGATGCAGGGGAAACTCAAGTTGACCATATTAACTATGAAGTAAGACACAAAAATTCTCCTGATCATAAATAAGATAGATCTTCATCCATAGAGGAGGACTGCCCAAGAAGATATAAAGACATAGACTAGGTCTATAGAGAGATTGAAGAATGTCACTTAATGCATGAGGAGGCCACCTCATATCAAGAAGCAATGGCACAAGAAGTATGAAAAAAAGCTATAGAGAAAGAAATTGATATTCAAGATGAAGCAAAATTCTCAAAGAGAAACTATTTGGCACATGGCTCACTTAGTTGCAAAATGATATGTTCAGCAATTCAGCATTGACTATGAAGAAATTTTTGCACTAGTAGCAAGGTGGAGACAGTAAGAGTAATAATTACTCTTGGTGCTCAAAATGGATGGAAACTTCATCATTTAGATGTGATGTCAGCTTTTCTAAATGGTGAATTGGAAGAAGAGGTGTTTTTCAAACAACTAGAAGGTTTCATCCAAAATGATATGGAGAATTGTGTTTTAAAGTTAAAAAAAGCACTTTATGACTTGAAACAAGCTCCTCGAGCCTAGTATACAAAGATAAAAGCCTTACCTCACTTGATTTTATTAGAAGCTCATAGGAACATGAGTCTACACAAAATCATCAAATGAAGCTCATTTGATAATTGGAGTCTATGTGGATGACCTCATAATCATTGGAACAATTGAAAAAGGTATTTCAGATTTCAAGCAACAAATGATAAAATATTTCAAGATGAGTGATCTAGGCTTACTCACCTCATATTTGAGAATTGAAGTAGAACAACAAGGAGATGTGATCAAGCTGAAGTAGAGGAACTATACTCTATGATTACTTGAACATAGCAGAATGCAAGATTGTAATTTAGTTTCCATACCACTAGAAGTTCGGTTCAAGTTCGGTGAAAATAGTAAGAACCCACTAGCTGATTCTACTAAGTTCAGGAACATAATTGGGAGCTTGAAGTACCTAATCCACACTCAATTTGATTCGACTTATTCATTGGGTTATCTTAGTAGATATATGGAACTACCTACATTAGAGCACATGACAGCATTGAAGCAAATTCTTTAATATGTTAACGATACTATAAATTACGGTATGATCTTCAAGAACGAAGCAAATTTTACTATATCAAGATATAGTGATAGTGATCATACCAAAGACTTAGCTGATCGGAAAAGCACGACTGGATTTTTATTCTTCTTCGGATCAAATTTGATAAGTCGGACTTCACAAAAATAAAAGATAGTTGCACTACCCTCGTGCAAAGCAGAATATGTAGTTGTTACTACTGTAGCCTACCAGAGGATTTAGTTCGCAAGGCTCATCGGTGAACTGAAGATGGAGAAACTCACTCAAGTAAAACTATTTATAGACAATAAGCAATTGCATTGTCGAAAAATCCAGTTTACCACAGCAGATCGAAGCACATTGATACACAGTGTCACTTCATTCGATCCTGCCTCGAAGAACAAAAGATTGAAGCAAAGCATGTTAGTACCAGTGATCAATTAGCCAATATACCCACGAAGATATTAGGGAGAGCTCAATTTGACGAACGACGTCAAAAATTGAGCATGACTGAAGATGACGAAAATACTAGGCTTAGAGGGGAGATTGAAGGCATTATGCCCAGTCAAAGAATGTGCCCGTGAAGATTGCCAGAGTCGGAGAAACTCCGAAAGTTACTCTGACAATGAATGTTTCCACGGACCATAACTATCTCTAGCGAATGTTACTCTCTCTCTCTCTCTCTCTCTCTCTCTCTCTCTCTCCTATAAATGTACTTCTTGTGTACCACGAAATAGACAGATGATTTATGCTGTGTTCTTGAAATCCTAGTCTCGATTCTTCTTCTTCTTCTTCTTCTTCTCTCACACAATCCTCGAGCAAGTTTTTGCTCCCAATAGGGGCGAGTGTACTGCGACACCTGCTGCACCGCTTCTGGTGTTTCTTCATCTTAACGAGAGAGAGAGCACGCGAGCAGCATTTTTAAAGAATCTCCTCTCCGGTGTCTTTCTCTTTGTGGTGTGTTTTTTGCCGACTTCGCTCGCATTGGGGAAGCGGCCGTAGGTCTGGAGGAGGGGGAGGAGAGATGGTGAAGGGAAGAGAGATTAACGAAGGTACGGTGACGGGGTGGGATGGAATAAAATGAGGTAGGTTCGCCAGTTTATGGTCGGAATCGGCAGGCGGAGAACCGAGAGGAATGGAAGCAGGCCGTCGTCGCCTGCATCAGGCAGGAGGAGGGAGACGCTGCGGCGTATGGACGCAGCAGATTAGACGCTGTGATTCCCGTCTGTTCTTTCTTTATTGAGCGGCACCAGAAGCAGGAGGAAGGGAGAAGGGGGGGAAATAGGGCCTTCGTCCCTCCTTCGTCCCGCATCCGGCGGCGGGGGGTCATTCGTCGTCGCCGAGCTAGTACTGGACCAGGAAGTTACCGGAAGAGGGGGGGCTCTCCTCCTTGAGGAAGCCGAGGGAGTTGGCGAGACGTAAGTTGATGGCGAGGCCGCTGTTTATCTAGGGCCCGTTTCTGTCGCCTCTTACAACGTACTCCTAGTGGAGCTGGCTTGGCTTGGCCAGTTCGGCCTGTTAGGTCCGTAGTCTCTTGCTACGTAGAGCTCTATCTAATGTGGGCAGAGCTCCACCATCTCATGGTGGGGTGAAAAACGTATAATACCAGAAATATGCCCATGTAGTGCAACCGGGCGTTTATGATTGGTAGGCATTTCAGGAAATAGGGGTTATCTCACGAGGGTGTAGTAAAAAATTTGTTCTTGAGTGGCCTTTCTTATAACAGATAAGGGTTCTAGATAGCCAAATGAGGTAATAATGTGTGTAAAAATACCTTCAAAGGCGGCGCCACCGGAGGGTCTTCCCTCAGATCTACTCGAGGTGGCACTACGGCGAGGAAGTACCTCCAAGAGTAGCTCTCTGATTGAGGAGGAGGCCAGTTCGGTGATTAATTATCTAAATCAACTCACTAGTTCTAGGCTCAAATCTCTCGTACCACCCATCAATTCTCCCTCGCCCCCTCGGCCCCTGTTCTTTAGAAAAACTTACGACGAAGATGTCGGAATGGTCTCCAATGGTGAAATGCTTGTTCTGCTGCACAGGGAGAGGGAAAGGCCGCTTAGTTCTCTGGTTATATACCCGACGATTGGAGTTTTATCGATCTCCACGGAGGACTAAAGAACGGAGCATCAGACGGCGCTTCTGCAGAACGATTATCTCACAGATGGTCTGCTGATTAGAGTTATATTTGGCGCCTAGTTACACCTTAGATCGTCGTGTAGCCCTCCCCCTCCCCCCCCCTCTCCCCCGGAGATGCGGTTCTCCAGACACCCCGGCTGACCCGGTCTACGCCCTAACTTAACCCACCTACTTCCTCCTTCCTCCCTCCCTGTCAAAACTCGCTAATCCCGCCTAGCCTCTCTCTCTAACAGGCACCGGGTATTCTCCGACAGAGAAGGCGGACCGGAGAGGGGGGGAAACTATAAAACAGAGGCCCGGGGGAGGCTTTCAACACAAATTCTCCCGCAGGGTTTCATCGAGAGAAGGAGAGGTGTAGAACCCGCAACGATGGCGACCAAGCTTCTGAGCGTCGTGGCGCTGTGTTCCGCCCTCTTCGCCGTCGCTGCCGCCGCCGCAGCGGATTCCCCGAGCTTCGTTGTCGAGGGTCGCGTGTTTTGCGACACCTGCCGCGCCGGTTTCGAGACCACCGCAACCGAGTACCTCGCTGGAGCAAAGGTGAGATTAGAGTGCAAGCACGAAGAATCGGAAGAGCTCGTTCACACGGTAGAGGGGACGACGGACGCCACCGGCACATACCACCTGAAGGTCGCCGACGACCATGAGGACGAACTCTGCGAGGTGGTTCTGGTGGAGAGCCCCCACGCGGACTGCTCAGAGATCAAGACCGGAAGGGACCGCGCCCGCATCCTCCTGACCCACAACAGCGGCCTCGCTACCAACGTCCGTCTCGCGAACTCCCTCGGATTCCTCAAGGAGGAGCCCCTCCCCTCCTGCGGCGTCCTCCTGGCCCAGTACCAGCTCGGCGACGACGAATGAGCCTCCTCCGCCGCCGCCGCCGCCGCCTCCCGGGGACGACGACCATATTTCCCCTTCTAACCCCTTCCTCCTACTGCTGCTGCTGAATAAAGGAAGAACGGGCAGGAATCACAGCGTCTAGTCTGTTGCGTCCATACACCGCCGCGTCTCCCTTCTCCTCCTGCGTAATGCGGGCGACGACGGCCTGCTTACAAAAGATGCTGCATGTATAAAAGTTCTACACCGACCGAATTCATTGGTCTACGTAAAGGTCCACTCACTTAGTCTCTTTAGAACGGGCCTCAATTTATAAACCCCAGAGCCCTGGTCGGTGACCCCTTTACCTCTATTGCCCATCGAAGTACTCAATAAGAGGCATACCTAGATAGTGAACTAAATGGTTCTGTGATCGGAGACGGCTCCTTTTTTCATAATAAGCTGAAACTTTGTGATGCTTCACCATATTACTGATTGCACTATACTTTCCGAAATATAGTGAAGATTTTAAATCACTAAAATAGAGTGTCATGAGCTCATTTGAGCAAGAAAAATCAGGAGATCGAGCTCAGGAAATCCAAACTTGGAGGACAGTGGAGGCAAAAACATCTCTTACCATTTCACTAGATTATAGACGTTGTCTTTTGACAATTTTCCTACCACAATGGGTAAGGAATACACTCGGTAATTTCATCATGGATTCACAAGTATCCAAGAGCTGAATTTTGAGGCTTAGTATCATCATGAAGAGTGATGATCTGACTCGCCAGCATCAAAGGGTTTTATGCAGTGAATTATCATCATGAAGCTGCATGTTTGCAAGATGTTATGTGCCATCTCAGTCCTGACATTTGCCTAAATGTCTCCCTCACCCAGTCCCACCTCAGAGGCATCTCATCGAACCCCACTCCCTTTTATTCGTAACTGTGGCCTTTGGAGAACTGTAGGTGCGTCTGTGTGGTGGAAAATGTATAACACCAAAAATACGCCTCACGGGGGTGTAGTAAAAATTTATTCTTGACTGGGTGAGGGAGATATTTAGGCAAACGCCAAGACAGAGGTCCCA